ATAATCAGTAGAATTTGCTGCATCTGTTCTTGTGTAGATTATAATGGATGTTCAATGAATTTTCAGATCAAGCTCTTTCTTATCAAGGTGGATATGCAGGAGAGTTTGGCCGAACCAGTAATGATTTAGGGAGGTAGGAAAATAGTAACCAATAAAAAGTAGGAACTCTTGATCAAAAATAGTTTACAGACTATCCTTTGCTTTCTCTGGTGATGTGTAAAGTCTATCTTTCAGTGACAAATCGTTATTGTGGCTTGTGAATTGAGCTATGTGCAGACAAGTATTGGATGAAGTAGAGATAAGAGAACTACTTATTGATCATGTTGGTCATCGTTGTTGTTGGGGAAGTCGTCCTGCTCGTAGGTGGAAGATTTGTGCTGTGGAAGACTGTAATGTTTATGTGGGAACTCTGGATACTTTTATAGAGGAAAGGGATGTTATAAAAGAAACCGAGCCATATAAAGGCGGTGCGATCGATGGACGAAACAATGGACCCGAGCTTGGAGTCTGGGAATTGGATTTGAAATCTGAGTTCCCACCTCTTTATGTACCTTCTAAAGAATCAAGGAAAAGGATTCCTCATTCAGAAACCATTGAGAAGTGTTCAGGTGAGGATTCTGGAAGTTAATTTAGTAGCTAGTTGAATGCTTTCCCTTTTGAACTTAATAGGAATTTCTGATTGAACTTAATGATGATTACTACTAATCTAATTGTCCTCTTTGGGCTTTTCCTTTCGAACTTTCCCTCAAGGTTTTTAAAATGCGTCTGCTAGGGAGAGGTTTCCACACCCTTATAAACAATGTTTCGTTCTCCTCCTTAACATATGTGGGATCTCACAATCCACCCCCTTCGAGGCCCAGCGTCCTCGTTGGCACTTGTTCCTGTCTCCAATCGATGTAGGACCCTCCAATCCATTCCTTTCAAGGCTCAGTGCCCTTGTTGGCACACCGCCTCGTGTCCACCCCCCATTGGGGCCAGTCTACTTAATGGCATATCGCCTGGTGTCTGGCTCTAATATCAACTGTAACTGCCCAAGCTCACCGCTAGCAGATATTGTCCTCTTTGAGCTTTCCCTTTCGGACTTCCCCTCAAGGTCTTTAAAACGCGTCAATGTTTCATTCTCCTCCCTAATCGATATAGGATCTCAAAACTAACTTGAGTGGAAATTTTATGGGTCTAAAGTGAAGACAACGCTAAGCATTTAGTATTGTTAGGCTCACAAGCATTCGGTTTTAACACTCGTGTTTGAAAAACTCTGCAGTCTGTGCAGGACGAGGAGATCTCGTATGTCCGACATGTAACCCAGATCAAGAACCTGGATTTTACATTGGAAATCATATGGTCCAATGCCCTTCTTGTTATGGTCGAGGTTTGATAGCTCATCGAGATGGATCAGACTCCATGTAAGTTATTTAAGGATAGATTCTCATGTCTTGTGCATTTATTTGATTATTGGCTTCTTGGTCTATAGCTATGATAGAATGGGCTTCGAGCTCAAACGTCCCTTACCTTGGCATTTGATAATCTGAGCCTAAAATTTATCTGCTGCTGCTGGGTGACTGATAACTTCCTGTTTGACACATTATGTTTCGGTATGCTGAATAATTCTTGCTACGTGCAGATGTGCAAAATGTGATGGCAAGGGAAAACTTCCTTGTGCAACCTGCGGATCTCGTGGCCTAATTAAGTGTGAGACATGCCAACATAGTGGTTCTCTCCTGACTCGCAGTATTGCCGTTGTTAGCTGGTGTGCATTCTAATTCTGATACATTTTTAGAACTTGCTGTTTCTGTAGCTATAGTTTTTACTCATTGGAAGCAAGAGTAATATTCATTCGATCGAGTGAAATACGAACGGAAACGAGGATTTCGCCTAAAGTTGAGCGAGAGGGGATTCCAAAAAAATTCCCCCAGCTGGTTGGTTTTAATAAAAATGAATCCTTGTTACGATAACAGTGCAAAGCCATAAGAACTCTGATTATTCTCTTTTGGCTTTCTCTTTCAGGCTTCCTCTCAAAAATTTTAAAACCCCTCTATTAGGGAGAGGTTTCCACACCCTTATAAAAAATGTTTTGTTCTTCTCCCCAACCAATGTGGGATCTCGCAATCCACTCCCCTTCGGGGCCCGGCATCCTTGCTGGCACTCGTTCCCTTCTCCGATCGATGTGGGACCCCCTAATCCACCCCCTTCGGGGTCCAACGTCTTTGTTGGCACACTGCCTCATGTCTACCCCCTTCGGGGTTCAACCTTCTCGCTGGCACATCGCCCAATGTCTGGCTCTAGTTCCATTTGTAACAGCCCAAGCCCACTACTCGCAAATATTGTTTTCTTTGAGCTTTGCCTTTCGGGTTTCTCCTCAAGGTTTTTAAAATGTGTCTACTAGGGAGAGGTTTCCACTCCCTTATAATGATTGCGTCGTTTTTCTCCCCAACCGATGTGAGATCTCACAATGATAGTTTGAAATATTATACATGCTTCTGGATTTATCATGGGAAATTCTTCAGTTCCTTCTAATTCATACTTCTCAAAAGAGTCATTTAGCAGTTCCGTACACTGTTGAACCAAAGCATATATTAAAGGCAACAAAAAAAAAAGCTGCCACGGTCCATGACTTTTCGGTTATATTTTATATGAACTCGAGTTTCTTCCCCTTCAGTTATATTTTATATTCTCTTTTGCTGAAAACTGTGCACAACAACAACACGAAAGGAATTCTTCTTTTACAGGAGGACACTTTCGACTCGAAAAGTAAGCGCTATGAGCGGAGCAGCATCTGTACCAGACGAAGTGTTCCACAGAGCCAAAGGTGTCCAATTATGCAACACTCAAGCCTACCAATGTACTCCAGCTTTCTTTGCAGATTCCTTCTTCCTCAACAAGTTCTCTTCTGAAGTGATTGCAGATCGAGCATCCATCGCTCCCACTGCACGTGTGATATGTGAACGACATATAATCTCAGTCGTACCGGTGGCCCGCGTCACAATGGCCGACCATGGAAGGTCCTTCAGTTTCTACATTGTAGGTTTCAGCAAGGAAGTTTACTTGAAGGACTACTACCCCTCAAGGTTCTGCTGGGGGCTGTGTCCTTGCTTGGAGTGGCTGAGGTTGTAAAGAAAACCACATGGTGTGATGATGCACATGGCTGGCTGCCAGTTAGAATTGTATTGTGACTCTGAATTCTTCTCATGGTGGGCTTCTTCTTTGTTGTGTAATTTTATTCTCATTGTGCCATGGGTTATCTATCTTTTTGGCTAAGTCTCCTTTCTTTTTGCTTTGTCCTTTTCAGAGTGACTGCGAGAACTCTCTCTGTGTTTGCTTTGCTTTGCTTCAAAGTTTGGCTTCAATTACATCACATTCACTTCTCTTTCAAGCTACATGTTCATGGGACCAGAATCTAAAACCGGTTTTTTCTAGCTTCCATAAAATTAATTAGGTGATTTTAAATGGAGTACGGTGATAATAGCTAATAATTGACCTAAATTGAATCAATTATGAAAGTTTAGGGTTTAAAATGCCTCTGTTAGAGAGGGGTTTCTACGTAGGAATAATTGGTTTCCCTCTACAATCAATGTGAGATCTCATAGTTCACCTCCTTGAAGCCAACGTCCTGACACAATGATCTCATAATCCACCCCTTGGGGCCAAGTGACAGCTCAATGATCTCATAATCCACCCTTTTGGAGCCAGCGTCTTTTAGTAACAACCTGATGTTTGGCTTGAATATAATTAGTAACAGCTCAAGGTCATCATCGTTAGTAGATATTGTTCTCTTTGATTTTTTTTTTTTTTTTGCCTGGGACTTCCCCCTCACAATTATTGTTCTCTTTGGGTTTTTTTCTTGGCTTCTTTTCTAGACTTTTTTTTTTTTTTCTCTGGGCTTCTTTTTTAGACTTTCCATTTTAAAACGTGTCTGTTGTAGGATAGGTTTAACTAGTCTAGAAGTGATAGGTTTGACACCATATAAATAATAATTTGTTACCCTCTAACCAACTTCAGATCTAACCAATAGATTTAAAATATGGATTTAAAGGTGACGTGGACATGTATTTTCATTATAATATTTTGTTTTATATATTAAAATGAAAGGTAAGTTGTTTTAAAAACAAAAACAAAAAAGAGTTGTCGAAATGTCGCTGCCATTTAAGACAAAAGGGTCCACATCCCATATAAGGGGTGGGTGTTAAATTTAATATCAAATGATTATTTATTTATTTATTTTTATCTAACTCATCTTCTCCCATTTTTGTCCATATCATTTAACTTAAATGACAATTTTAACCTTCGATTTTTCTCTTTTTCTTTTTTAGATTTTCGAGGACAATCTGGACGATCTATGCTTTCTCGTGATTATGCATTTATTTATTTAACTATTCAAAATATTTAATTTATATTTTTTATTCAAAAAATTAGAGCCAAAACCGAAAAGATCAACGACTATATATATATATATAAATATTGGATGATTAAATAAGGAGATATTTATTTTTTTTAAAATCAAATAGTAATTAATTAATCACATTCATTATCATTATTATTAATTATAGTATTTTTAAAAATGTCAACTTAGGAATTATTTCATTGGAATTAATAATGCCTTTTCTAGTATATAAATCATCACAATAAAAAAGAATTAATTTTAAGTTTTAATTGGAATAAAAAATTAAATACATATTTTTCTGGTTTATATAAATAAACACATGGACTGCTTAATTACGTCATAAAAAATGTTGACACCTCACAAATATCTTATTATTTATTTTCGTAGACTTTTTTTTTTTTTTGTTGATATTTTTAATTTTTTATTTATTGGATTTGGGGGAAAGGGCCGGGTATTTTGTCCAGCTGTTAAATGAAATTTGAAATTCAAAATTTGAAAACCTTCCAGCGCATTTCATTTACCGTTACCACTCCACCAGGTAGCCCGTTGCATTTCACAGCTCGTTTCTCTCTCTACAACCAAAGAGAAACCCTAATTCCCGGTTTCTCTCTCTTCCCCCTTTATAAACCAATTCTCTTTCTCTCTCTCTCTCTGTAAGAAAGGTAACCTCTTAATCTCTCTCCGTCCCAACAACTTCCCATTTATTTTCCCCGCCCTTCTTCTTCCTCTCTCGCATTTCTCACAGAAATCCAATTCTTCTGCGGAAAAATGAGAGAGATCCTTCACGTTCAGGGTGGGCAATGTGGCAACCAGATCGGTGCCAAGTTCTGGGAAGTTGTATGCGCCGAGCACGGCATCGATACCACCGGGAAGTATCAGGGAGATTCCGATCTTCAGCTTGAGAGGATTAATGTCTACTACAATGAAGCTAGTTGCGGGAGGTATGTACCTCGCGCTGTTCTCATGGATCTTGAACCTGGTACTATGGACAGTATCAGATCTGGGCTTTATGGTCAGATCTTCCGGCCGGATAATTTTGTTTTTGGTCAATCTGGTGCTGGAAACAACTGGGCTAAAGGTCACTACACTGAGGGTGCTGAGCTTATTGATTCCGTGCTCGATGTCGTCCGGAAGGAGGCGGAGAACTGTGATTGTTTGCAAGGTTTGTTATTGATCTGCCTCTGTTTCTGTTTCTGTTTCTGATTCTCTCTATCTATATCTGTGATTTTTTCTGAACGTTGGTGCGGTCTTGTGGTTTTTTAGGGTTTCAGGTGTGTCACTCTCTAGGAGGGGGAACTGGATCTGGGATGGGTACTCTTCTGATTTCGAAGATCAGAGAAGAATATCCGGACAGGATGATGCTTACCTTCTCCGTCTTTCCATCTCCCAAAGTTTCTGATACTGTCGTTGAGCCTTACAACGCTACTCTCTCAGTTCATCAACTGGTTGAAAATGCAGATGAGTGCATGGTTCTTGACAATGAAGCTCTCTATGATATTTGCTTCCGTACCCTCAAGCTCACCACTCCAAGCTGTAAGATCTATCTTCGTTTAAACATCTGGAATTTTCTTCTTTACTTTCAACACGCTGTTTAGTAGTTGTCTGTTTCTTTGTTAATTTTTGTATCACGTATTGAGTTTCGTACACAGAGTTAAAGCTGATGTGTGGGTAGTTATTAATAAATGATGAGATCTGGATATGAATTATGCTAGTCTAGTGATTATGAACCCGTGGGAAAGAAAGTACATCTAAGATTCAATGTTTTTTACTATTGCATTTTGTTTTGGAAACAAATTGTTTTAATTCATTTATTGCACTAATTTGTTTCTCTTGTCTGGTTGGAACAGTTGGTGATTTGAACCATTTGATCTCTGCAACCATGTCCGGTGTGACTTGCTGTTTGAGATTCCCTGGGCAACTTAACTCTGATCTCAGAAAGCTTGCTGTTAATCTCATTCCCTTCCCTCGTCTCCACTTTTTCATGGTGGGTTTTGCTCCTCTCACATCTCGTGGTTCCCAGCAGTACAGAGCACTGACTGTGCCGGAGCTTACTCAACAAATGTGGGATGCCAAGAACATGATGTGTGCTGCAGACCCACGACACGGTCGCTACTTAACTGCCTCTGCTATGTTCAGAGGCAAGATGAGCACGAAGGAGGTAGATGAGCAAATGCTCAACGTGCAGAACAAGAACTCTTCTTACTTTGTGGAGTGGATTCCAAACAATGTTAAATCGACTGTTTGTGATATTCCTCCAACTGGTCTGAAGATGGCTTCAACGTTCATTGGAAATTCCACATCAATTCAGGAAATGTTCCGCCGTGTGAGTGAGCAGTTCACTGCCATGTTTAGGAGGAAAGCTTTCTTGCACTGGTACACAGGTGAAGGTATGGACGAGATGGAGTTCACTGAGGCTGAAAGTAACATGAATGATCTGGTTTCTGAGTACCAGCAGTACCAAGACGCCACAGCCGATGAGGAATATTACGACGAAGAAGAAGAGGACCCAGAAGATAATGTGTAAGAAGATGAGATAGAATGTGGGGGTTTTATGTTTGTAGGGATTGTGTAATATGTTGCAACTTCTGTTGCTAGTCTTATGGATTTGTCTATTTTGTGTTGTCTTTTATCTCTATGTTGTGCTCGACTTTTGAACTGATTGTGTCTGCAGACAGTTAAATTTTTACCGTAGCTGATAATGAATTGTTTGTGTAATCCCATATATGAACATCACTTTCACTAGCTGATTTCCCTTGGTTCGAATATCAAAGCTAGGCCAGTTTGGGACTGTTTTGCAAGTGTTCTTTGTTTTTATTTTGAAATATCTGTAAATTGTGGATGAGGCATCCTTACAGTCCTTGTAAATGTTCTTTGTTCTTTGATTGAATTCATTCTAGCTTTTTGGATCACAAATAAGTAATTATATTTTTATTTCTAGAGGGTGGTTCAATATTGCAACAGCTCGCTCACATATTTTAGGATACACCTCAATCTCTATGCTAGCACAGATTGTTCGCTTTTTCATCGGTAGTACATATTGTCTGCTTTAGCTCACGTATTGTCATGGATATTTCCATATTTCCACACCCTTATAAAAAAAATGTTAAATTTCTCCTTACAACCGATGTGAGACCTCACAAACGTCCGCATTTCTACCATTAGCAAGCTCATTGTTAGCACATATTGTCTAGCCTTACAATTTTTCACTCTTAAGTAATGTTTCGTTCCCTTCACACCCTTAAGTAATGTTTCGTTCCCTTCTCCAACCCATCTGTGATGGATACGATTTGTAATGGTTCAAGCCCACCACTAATACATATTGTCTGTTTAGACCCATTACATATCGCCGTTAACCTTATAGTTTTAAAATTGTCTAATGGGGAGAAATTTCTATACCCTTATAAAAAAATGTTTCATTTTCCTCTCCAACCAATGTAAGATCTCACAAACTTCACGAGCAAAAAAGAAATTTTGAGCTTCTGATTTAAGTTGAACATAAACAACATTGAAACGTAGGAATATATAACAATGAAAATTCGAACTTTCAACTTTATCGAAAGGCTAGAAGGCTTAGGATTCATCGGAAGGTTACGCTTGGTCAGGGCTGTGTTTGGATTTGACAAGTTCTTAGGATTCAAATGTTTAAGCTGTGGGGTTGGGCAGGTTAAAAGAGGTGGTTCCATTACATGGGTAACTAAAAAACTACATCTTTAGACAATTGATAGCCAAATTACAGCAACACAGCAAAAGGAAAAACCTCTCCACAAATACAATTCTTTTGTTTTCAAACTCAAACATCGACCTTCTTCTTACCATAATCTTCGATGCCTTTGTCCAACACCACAACTTTCTCGTACTTCACATCCATCTGCTGCATCGCATACTCCTCAGGCACCACTGCTCGCCTATGCCCAAAGATGCTCCATAAATACAATGCAACGAAGGCTGTCAATGCCCCACATCCAGTCCCAAAAATCATGCCCGAAACCACTCTCATCAAGCAATTCTTCCCATCCTTGACAACGATTTGGGGTTCCGATTCCCTGGCAATGGCGATCGTCTTTGGATCGAGCGGCTCTGAATGCATCCAATTCGGAATGCTCTTGAGCTTGAAGCTCCAAGAATAGACTAAACATGGCTGGGATGATGAGTTCCCATTTGATGAACTCAATCCCACCACCACTTCCTCATCTTCTCCCCAAATCTGGGAGAGATCGATTGGGAATGAAAGTAATGGCACAGATGGCCTCTTGTTCTCGCTATTTTCTGCTAATCTTACTTCTAATTGCCTAGAACCCACCTCGTAATCTATCCAGGCGTGTAAAATCTTCTCCCTAATTAATGCAGATGAACTGTTTGAAACAATGCCTGAACCAGCTATTGAAACATTACTCTTGTAACCCATATCAATTCCTACCACCGTTCTAATCAGATCGCCATTCTCAGAATCATAAGAAGTCCCAAATTTAACAACGATCATGTTCATCTTCTGTTTCTTCTCCGATCCAAAATGAAGCCCAAATGGTCCGTTACCAAAGGCACTAACGTTAAAACTACTTGGAACAATAACAAAACCCAATCCACCCTCCCCCCTTGTGTTTGGCGACAAAGAAAATAAGAAATCAGTCGAGAAAGACATGAATCTCCTCGATTTACCTCGAACAAGCCTGATGGGTTTCTTGTACACGATTCGCCCAGCACTGGAACTGACCGGACCGCTGAGGCTGAGAGCACTGCCGTCGCCGACAACCGCCGCATCACCGTACAGAGCGACATTGAGTTCAAACTGTGGATCTCCACGAAACCCAGAAAGGGAAAATGAAGGAGACGAAAGAGAATCGATGGATTTGAATAAAAGGAAGAAGAACAAGAAGATGGAAATGGTGGGTGAGGGGAAAGAGTTAGAGAGATGAAACGCCGCCATGGCTGATGAAGTGAGAGGTTGAGAAGGAGTGTGTGTGGGGTTGAAAGGAAGGAAGGAAGTAGGCTAGTGGAGTAAAAACATATTGTTTCAACTGCGACTGAACTTTTCTCTGTTCTTCTGCAATTTGTTCCTAATTTCTTTTCACTTAGGGTTTGAAGATATGGAAAGCTGAAGGAGAAAGTAAAGAATAATAGAATGTTGTGGGGGTTGGGTGGGTGGGTTCGAACCTCGATGAAACTAAATGCAAGTCTTTAATTAACTCTATTCTTTTTGCTATCATGCCCCTCATGCTCTTTCACTTTTCAAATTTGCCCCTCAATTTCCAAATATTCACGACTCATTTTCCTCGATATCTATCTTTAGTACCCGTTCTTGCAAAAAATGACCAACAATGACAAAAAAATCATGGATAATCATCTCTATATCGATCTTTTGACTTATCTCCATATTCATTCCTCATTTTTGTTCTCACAAACGCAGCAAGCTAACTCTGTAAAACGTTGCCAAATCTAAAATTGTTTTTTGTAAATGGGTTTCATCAGATAAAAAATGAGGAATAAAGTTTTTTTTTTATAAATAAAACAATAAAACTAACTATTGATCTTAATTCTTTTTATTGGAGAAATTCATCAAAAATGAATAAATAAGAAAAAAAAATTATTTTGGGGTTGAAAGAGTAAATGATGGGAATTAGGTAAAAAAGATGGTTTAAGATACACGTAATAATCGAGCATGGTATAATGAAATTATGGATAAGACTACAATTTTGAAAGCGGTAAATAAAATCAACGGTAATAGAGTGAATCTAATAATTTTAATTTTTTAACCTCAAATTTGAGTGGTTCGTGATTTGAGTATTTAAAATTATTTAATAAATAATTTTATTATCATAGTCGAGAAATAAAAATACAACCACTAATATTTTCCTAAAATTTAATATAGAAATTGAGAGAAAAATAAAAGCGAATAGAAAAAAAGACGAAGTATCATTAACGTAGGGGTAGGGGCGAATAATTAATAAGAAGAAAGTATGGGAATAATTTGAAGAAAAGCAAAAATGATGGGCGAATTTGAAAATAGAGCGAAAAGGAAAGGAGTTTTTAACAAATTATGTAAAAGACGGAGACAGTAGAATGTCGTGAAGTCACGCGCTCCTTGTTTGTTTTTAAATGAAAGCATTAATGGGACACTTGTCCAAACCCATGAGCGAGTACGATTCCTTCTTCAATCTCAGTGTTCAAAATCTTTAAAATAATTCCTTCGAATATTCTTTTAAATAAAATTTACATTATTTGATTTTTAATGTGAAAATAAAAATACTTACTAAATACAACTTTTCTTGTTTTTCTATAGAGAGTGTTCTATGATTTTAATGTCAAATTTTTTAAAAATAAATAAAGAAATTACTTTTATTAAAAATAAAGGACTCAAACAACTCGAAATAATCCAACTAAAAGAATTTATAGTTAGGTATATTATTTAACCAAAGTTGTTTTAATTAAAAAAGTAATAGGTCGAATAATTGTGTTAAATTTAAAAAAGAATAGTTTTAGTATAAATAATCTCAAATATATAATTTAAAAGAAAAAAGAAAAAGAAAGAAAAGTGGATTGGTGGAAGGATTAGTGGACGACGTGTCGGACAATGTGGGATTGCACGCACAGTGCACACAAATAGAGGAGGGCATTTGTGGTCTTTTCACATGGAAAATTTTAACGGCAGTGCGCGTGCTTTTGTGTTGTCGTATTGGCATATATTAACAAATTACCAAAAAAGCCTTTGTGCGACAATAACTGCTTCTTTCAAATTGCCTTTCCACACTGTTATTTTTTAAAATTTTAATGTTTTTTTTTGTTTGTTCTCAAAATACAAAATTTCTTTTTTGCGCTTTTTATAGATTAGGATAAAAAATTTAATGTTTTTTTAAATTTTTTTTTTATTATTGTTTATTTTTTTATATAATGCAACTGGTTGGTGATTAAAAATATTTAGAGTCGATTACAATGGTCGTTGTGACGAGAAGTGTTCATATGATATGAGAACTCGACTAATTTGAACTACTCAATCCAAACCATACAACTTTGATTGGGTTGGATTTTTTATTTTAGGTATGGATGAATTATTTGGAAAACTTTAAACTCGAAAATAAAGTTACAACCATATTCTACTTTTAAGATTATTGTGACGATTAAGAATATTTAATGTTGTAATGGATGCTAATGATGCGTTATGATTTGGGAATGTGTGATATTTGAGTTTTATAAGATTTTGGTTATTAATATACCATGTACCGTAGATAAGTATAATTTTTTAAATAATTTTTAAAAAACAACCCAACTGCACTTATCAGTATGTTTTGTTTACCGGTTAATTTTTATGTTATTATTAATAGAAAGCGGAGGTGACCTATATCTTTTATCCATATATATTAATCTTTTTAATTATTAAATTACCAATGCTCTCTCTTCTTTATTTCAATTCATAATATAGTTGTTGTCAACCACTATTACTTGTCATCGACTGACGACGACTATATCATACAGGTCAATATCATTAACCTTATTTGTTAACGTCTACCAGACACGTTAGCTATATAATTTAAAAACTATATTATTAAAACGAGACCAAAAATTTAAATAACATGACTATAATTTTTTTAGAGTTTTTCGGTGTGAAGTTTTTTATTATGGACAGCAAAATTCACACACATATATATTTTTGGTTTTTTTTTTTTCTGTTTTATAGGACCTTTGCCTGTCCTTCAGTTAATGCATAGCATGACTTAGATTCATAATTGAATATGTCCTCTCCATAGGATTCATGACATGGATGGTAGTGGGTCCCATTAATTAATACATTTATATAAATGGAAAATTGATTAATAATTAATTCCTGAAAAAATGAAGAAAAAAAAAGGGGGAAAAACTAAGACTATATTATCCAGAAATTCTTCATAATAGCTCTGATCCACGTCTCTCCCTTCGTTTGATTTAGATGAGAAAAATTTACATTAGTATCTCAATTTCAATTCAAATATAAATTTGATTCACACTCTATATTTCGAGAAATAATTTTAAAAGAAGAAATTAAAATTTTTATATAAAAAAATTTGTATTTATACTATGCATGAATTACATTTATCACATCAATTTTTCTTAAAAATGGTAACGAATTCACTATAAGTTTGTATAATTATTTGAAAGTAAGACAACAATGTAGAAACGTGATCCCCGTTCTTATTTTTTGTTTTTCCTCTTCTTAGCCTTCACTATTGTTGATAAGAGTTGAAGAGTTTAAAGCAACCCATTTTCATTAGTACACAAAAAGGGGTTTGTGGTCGATATAAAATATGGTTGAAATAATATTGATACGAAGGTTGAGAGTTGTGGTGAGCTGTTTCCAAACATGTTGCTTTTGATACTTTCTTCTCGATTCTTTTGATTTCTTCTTCTATAGTTCGAGATTCGACATAAACATCATAGAAGATAAAGTGAGAGAGAGACAAAAATAAATAGAAAGTGAAAACAAATGTAAAAGAGAGGTAAGTTATTGACGAGGATGGAAGGGTGAAAGTGAGATGTGGGGCAAAGGAGGAGGTAGTGACTTAACTACAACACTCACATGTTTGCATTAAATAAAGATTTTGAGGCAAAAGGGACAGCAGAAGCAGCCCATGTGAGTTTCAATCCATTGGGCATCTCATATCCATTCTTTAGCACCATTTTCTTTTATGTTCTTTACCATTTTTTGAACAAAGGAGGTTAGAAATAAATGCTGCGACCGTGGAGGGATATTCTGTCCAAGTCTATATTGAAGTGAGCTGTTCTGTTCGGCAATTGAAGAACATAGCTCCTGTTCGTTGGTTCATGGATGTACCTGTGAGTTGAGAGTTGAGAGCTGTGTAATGTCCTTAATTTTATTAGGCTAACTAGTGACGTTACAAATAGTATAAGAGCCAGATATTGGATGGCGATGTGCCAGTAAGGAAGCTGAATTTCGAAGAGAGTGGATATTAGACGGTGTGCCAACAAGGACGTTGTGTCTCAAAAAGGGATGGACTGGGATTCTACATCAATTGGAGAAGAGAACGAGTGCTAACGAGGGAGCTGGGCCCCAAATGGAGTGGATTTTGAGATCACACATCTATTAGAGAGGGAAACAAAACATTCTTTATACGGGTGTGGAAACCTCTCTCTACTAGACGCGTTTTAAAACCTTAAGAGAAGTTTGAAAGGAAAAACTCGAAGAGGACAATATTTAATGATAGACTCTTACACCTATCCTCCAACTCCATGAGATTCTTCAATCAGCAACTCGTAGAACATCGCTTTGGGAGCATTAGCCAGAGAACTTAAGCTTTTTGTTTGAGAAAATAACTCTGAAATTAGTAGAGTCACTCCTTAACCAAACTTCTCCGTAAGATACCAAAAGCTTTCACACCACACTTGGCTTCAAAAGGAAGGATGATGAAGTAATAAAACCATGACATCTTTCACTTCTATCTCAAACAAACCCAAAAATTTGCAGACATGATTACCAAATCTCAATCTATTGTGATCGAAGAGCTTGATTAGTCATTATAGGCTATGCTGTTTTTCAATACTATAATTTTAGGGGTGATAAAATCAAGATTGTTCACAGTGAGTTGAATAACTCGAAGGACCAAACAAGATCCTTGCAAGTTCTTATGATGATTATGAATCGACAAAGGCTAATGGTTAGATGGCTTCTCTGTTTTCCACTTCTACTTAATGAATTTCAAACTCATTCTTCAATTTTTATGCCAAATAACACACCAAACCAAAATGTGCGAAAACCCCAGAAATCAAACAGTGGAATATACCTTGAAATTTAGGTTGGGATGGTTGAGGATTATTATTGGGAGTGAGTCCCACGTTGGCTAATTTAGTAGAAGATCGTGGATTTATAGGTGGAAAATACTATCTCATTAACATGAGTATGAGGCCTTTTGGGGGGAGCCCAAAGCAAAGACACGAGAGCTTATGCTCAAAGTGGATAATATCATACCATCATGGAGATCTGTGATTCCTAACATAGTATCAGAGTCCTGCCCTAAACTTAGCCATGTCGATAAAATCTTCAAATGTCTAACAAAAAATTGTGGGTCTCGAAGGTGTAGTCAAAAGTGACTAAAGTTTCAAACAAATGGTGTATTTTGTTCGAGGACTCTAGTGAAAGAAGTTCGAAAGGAGGATTGTTGGG